CTAGTGGTCAAGAGCTGGCGCTGAATCTGGGATTTTTTAAAAAGCTCAGAATATCCTTCGCTTCGCTGGTCACAGCAAAGGCATTAGTATTAAAGATGTTTGTTTAGAATCTTTAATACAGGTGATGATTTCTAATAAATTCTGTTTGTAGGAATGATAAAACAGTCTCAGTAATACGCACATTTTATGCAGCTTTTAACAGGTCCTTTGTATGTGTCTTCAGACTGAAACAACATCACAACCTCTATGTTTTTTTCTACATAGTCACATGAAAAGTAGAATGTAGCACAGAAGCTGTTGCGCTGTGCTCTACAATGGCACTGTTTAAAACTGCTAGAATGAGAAAACTGGGAAAGACAGGCACATTAGGACATTTAGAGACATGCATTATAGCAATTGCACACTGAAAAGCAGAAAGGGTGTTCAGACTGCTTTCAGAACAAGAAACCATGGTTAGCACAAGCTACCTGGTGTGCGGGATGAATCATCATTACAAACAGAACACATTACTAGATCTGACCTGAAATTCCAGCTGGTAAAAAAAGCTCACTGAAATGCTTAGTTAAACTTATTTTATCACCTTGCTTGCAATTCTAGTTGCACCAGATACAGCTGTCATAAATCATTCAACAGAACTTCAAATTATTCTGCCTATTTTTCAGGAAAGTACCTGCCTACTTGGTTAAAATGTTAAAGCCGGAATTTGAACAAACTATTGCATCCATTCAAGGCATACCTCTTAATGAAATGAGATTTGGTAAGGAGAACCCTTTAAAGAGTTGCATGTTGTTACATTCGTCACAGGCATACCTCTTAAAGGGCTTTCAGGCACCACTTCCAGCAGCAGCAGAATCAGAGCAGAGGTGAGACAGATATTTCCTACAGTTTCTTCTCTTTGTTCAGGGCCTTAATAATAGACGACCCATTTGTGTGCATGGGTTTAATTTATATCCCATACTGCATACCTGTAAATCTCAGGAGACACAGAACTATTGTGCTGGTCCTACCACTTCATTTGCTTGAAAAATCCGGCTTCCAGATGAAACCTGCTAGAAATTTGACACTCTGAACCTGCAAGAAACTAATAGGCATCACCCTTTCACCTACCCAAAACTTCCAGGCTCTTCTCTGAAACTACCCAATATATCAACAAGTTTTTGTTTTCAAAATGGTGATAATAGTGAAGTACCAAGAAGTGTTTATTTGATGAAGGACCAACACACTTTTTTTTCAACAGGTGACAGAAGTTGGCACTTACTTCAGACCAGGTGCGAGGGCCACAGGCGAGTGTATTCAAAATGGATTCCAACCAAATTCCTGTGAAGGGAAGATTCAAAAAGTGTGTTGGGAGCAGAGTGTGAAACTCTTCCAAACAGCCCATGTTGCTTTTTCCCTTGGAAAGTCTCCATGTAAATTGCTGCTCAAAACAAAACCACACTTGAAGTGGTTTTAGATGGAAATATGACCAGGGGAAGGGTTTAGCAGCGCTCCCCTACTCAGTCTTACTATGGGAACCTCTGCCTACCTGTACACACTTTATAGCAAGGGTGTACAACCTGTAAGCCTTTGCAAGGCGTTACCTGTGCCTCAAAGGGTACCCCTGGATTTTCCCCCTTTCCCTGCTTAAATGCACCATTGCTACCAGCTCTACCAATCGCTTGCCCAGGGAAACAAATGACAAGGCCTCCTGGAATGGGTAGGAGAGCGCCTTTTGTATTTCTGTGGGGAGAGGACAGGAAGAAGGTTCTTCACTTGGTGCCCCAGTGGTCCTGATTACCCGTTGCTGCAGGCAGCAAGAAGTCAAGATCATGATGAGGGGGTGTAAGGGGAGCTTACCTTACCCCTTAGAAAGTTGCATACCCCATCTTATAGCTTTAAATGTGTTTAGCAGAGTTATTGCTGGGAAGTGGGATAATGCCTATATGACAGAGCACGTATTTTGCATGCCGAAGTCTTCAGATTCAATTCCTGGTATCTCCCAAAATGATTGGAAGAATTATGTAGTACATGTCTGCCTTTTGTGGTACACATCTCTGGAGGGCCACTGTCAGTGTGAACTGGCGACACCAGGACAGATAAACAAATCACCCGGCCTGTCATAAGGCAGCTTCCTCCGATTGTTGTGTCACCTAACATTAGCTTTGCCCCTGACATGGTGTGCTGATTCCCGGTGTTGTGGGAGCAGCAGCACAGTCTTTTTCCATTGGAATTTAAGAGCACTTTGGCTTAACATGGAGGGTTGGGGGGGCAGTAATAAATAGATTAACATTTGAAAGCAGAAAGAAGCTTTCAACCAAAAGTTCAGGTGAGCACAAAGAAATATATATGCCAGAAGGGATCTTGTCATGTAACAAAGGGAACTGCTGCTTTTCTTTCTTATAATACCCAACAGCAGAAAGGAACCAAATGAGCTGTAGCCTTTTATGGAGGTGAAAGACTGAAACAGTACAATAAAAAAGACTGACAATTCTCCTTGGAATGAGCCTTCATTAGTACATTGGCAGCATGCCCACATGCCACAGAAAAACCCGCATTCGATTCACAGTTTTTCCTCAATGGGCCAAGAACTGATGATTGCAGAAATGTGACTGCGTTTTGGCATTCAAGCAGGAATACTGGATCGTAGATGGAGGGTTCTTCTCAGTTTCTTCAATGAGGCAGATAAAGTTTAGCTCACTTAAAATTCAAGCACCGGAGCCTTCCCTCATACTAGCTCCTAGTGCCTATTTGGAAGCGGGAGTGAGGTACTTTTATGCAATGGGCATCTGGGCAGTGACAGGTATTCCCATATGTAAGATGATGTTGGAAATAATAGGTTCTTTGAGTCTTGGGAGTTAATGCTAAGGATATGCCAAACTCCATGAAGACCTGGCACAGTATTTTGACAAGTTACAGAGCAGTATTGGGACAGTATCTGCTCCATAAATTTGAGTTATTAAACATCAAATACAAAGAAGATGCAGGTGGGCCACAATAGATATCTTTTTTGGTGTGATGTGTTCTGAAAGAGCACTGTGTATATTTTGTACTCTAGTATGCATCAGAAAGTGGGAATTGGCCCTAAAAGGAAGTTTCTAGCAGAAAATTGAACCTGTAGGAATGACGTACAAATTGCTTGATTGGCCATTCTTGGTTGTAGAGGACTATGAGACATGATGTCATCCATGCTCAATCCAAAAAAAAAAAAGTATTTTGAAAAATAGACTAAATACTCTTTAAACCATCTAGACAGGCAAGGAGAGCCATAGCCAGGGCTAGTTTAGGAGGACTTCATGGAAGTAAATAGTGCCCTCTAAAGGAATTTTCTTTGATTTACAGTACATTAAATACTGTTCGTATATACTGGTACTACAATAATACTCATGAACTAGTTAGTAACAGAAGATTACAGAATTTATTCAGGATTGCTTAAACTTTATATTGGAATGGAAACTCATCATTGCTAACTAGGTGGTTGTAAGAGTTGCAATTTTTGCTGAAAGGACAAATGAGCTTCGTGTGGCCATTGGCAAGTAATTCCCTTCTGGGGGATACATCATTCCCCAAAGTATTTTCGGCTACAGAAAATTCAGAGAATTATCAGAAAACATAGTAGCTAAAGTATTATCAGATGCCACAAAGATGTGTATTGCCAGGTTCCAGCTTTATATATCCTTCAAATGTGTAAGTGAAACGATTAAAAAAGAATTAGAAAAGAAGTGCTTCAGACAAGCTATTAAGGGCACAATTGTATGCATGTTTCAATACTGGGGCTTGTAGGACTTTTCCTGCCCAAGCGTGGTTAGGATTGTGCCCTTATTTATCAAGTGACAGCAGCAGGTAAACTTGCCCCATGCCTGCTCTTTTGAATAAAGCGCGGACTTTGTAGGAAGCAACAGATTTCTGAAGAAATCCTTTGGTGTTGCACTTGATTGCTTACACTATCACTACGGCACTTGTGTAAGCGGAGTGGCAACACTGGGTACTGCCACATGCTTGAGGCTTCAAGAGCCATTAATGGTTAACTTGTAAGATAGTCAGGCTTCTTGCTTTTGCTGCAAGGGAGTGTCCAGCACTAGAAGTAGCTTGAACTTTACTGGAAGGAGATTTTCGTAATTACTGTTCCAAGTGCAGGATTGCCACACTGGAAGAATCTAGGTCACACTCTTCTATTATTTGCAAGAATTAACTATTTTTTTGTGAGCCAACAGGTTGCTATTAATATCTCATTAGCAAAGATTGGAATAAAATAAGATACAAAAATAGCAACGCTAACAAAAGATTAACTTCAAATATCTATCTTTTAAAGTGCATGATCACATGTGAGCTATACTGACAACCTAAATTCGTGAATGGATTCCTTATGCAAACTCTAAGTGGAGTTAATCAAATCTAATGTGTGTATCCTAGCAACATGCCAGTAGCCAGCTGACAATAATACTGAAAGGCTGCTTGTTTTGGTACAGATATCAAGCCTTATTACAAAAGACATGATTTAAAGGGGAGAATGTTATGTTTGTCTTGGCAAAAATGAAATTTATAATTAGATCTTCAGTGCTTTTTAGAAACTTTTGGTCAGGAACAAGGGGAGGCAATACAACTTTTTTTTAGAAACAAGTGCTGTTGGAAAAGAAAAATGTAACAATCTGGTTCAGACGCAAGAATTTAAAGTTTTCAGAATTCAGTTATGCTTTTGAGGACTGCTGTACTGCAAATAGTTAACGACACTAATCTGCAACCCTTCCCAGCAGGATTTTCCTGGCTGGTGTGAAAGACCTCTGTATGATCTAAGCATGGCCTTATCAGTAGAATTAAAGCTGTCACTTTTAAGAGATTGCCAGTGTGGCAAATAAGAATGCTTTGTATGTGTCACTAACCCTACCTAACTTCATGGGGTTTTTTATGAGAAATGCTATCATATAACCCATCTCAAGGCCTTGGAATAAATTAAGGAAAGAAAGATAAGTGAAAAAGTCGAAGCACAACACTTTTTGAATCAGATATACTGAACACAAGCCCATCCAAGAAATATTTTAATATAAATCATTTTTAAAAAATCAAGCATTGTTCCATATGGAACATTTACACAAAATGTAAAGTCATAAAAACAAATTAACAGATATACATAATAAATATATTTTTGAATTGGTACGGAGTGTAAAAATTCTGTAGCAATAGAAATAATTTTTGAACACATACTACAGTCTTCTCAGACATAAAAATCCTTTGCCTAATATTTCAAGAAAATGTGAACACTTTACTGTTGCATTAGAAATGCAAGGACTACATCTCCAGTTCATGGCTGCAGACCACACTTATCAGTAGTTGGAATCCAGGAACAACAAGCTTGCCAAAGGGTCCTCCCAGCTAACAAAGATTTACAAGGAACTGTCAGGATGGTATTTGTAACAAAATGACATCAGATACCGATTTGAAGTTATATCCTACAGGACTTATCACTCACAACTGGCCTTCTCTTCCCCCTTGCAGCCCCAAACGTTTCAGAGCCAATTTGGGGAGGGATGGACCCAAAAGCCTTTGGGGGTTAGGGTTACGGTCATTCTGTCATTAGATGGCTTCAGATGCAGAAAGACACCATTAGATACAACCCATGAAGCTTTAAAATGTTTATGATAAACCAAAGTCCACATGTGTAAATTCTGGTACTATATAGAAGAATAGCAAGACTGCACTTCTGCATTAGTCCTTTGTGTTACTAATATGTTGCAGGGAATCTTCCCAGAATCCACTATCACCTTTCCTCAAGGTTTCGAATACTCGTAACACCAAACTAGACATCTGGGAAATCAGCAAAACTACAGGGTGCTTTGGAACTGTCTGAACCCACAATGTGTCCAGCAAAGATGACATATTTGTATCACAAAATGGTTAAGCTATATAATACAGATTTAATCTTTAATTTATATAGGTCAATCTATATAAATGAAGATGGCTAGTTATGCAGCAGCATAATCTTGATCCAAACAGGAACACTTACTTTTTTCCTAAAGTAGAACTCCTCAGGTTGGCTCTGAAGCAACCAAGAACTTTTTTTCCTGTCCATCACCATTAAATTCAGCCTTCTTGCTTCTATGAGCAATTATTCAGAATGTCTGTTTTGAGGTTAGGAATGAAAAGGCAGAAGCACCTGATGTTTTGTGTCCCCCTCTCCACCTGACAGGTATATAGGGGAGCAGAAGCATCCTATAGATCCGTTAGGTGGTTCATGCACAAGTGCTCCTGCATGCAGAAGGCTCAGGCACAGCTACAGCATTTCAGTGTAGAAACGTTTGGGTGAAGACGTGCCGTGGTGTCTGCAAGAAACGTGCCATTTTTCCCAACAGATGTGTGTGCTTGATGTGCTTCTGACCCAGGTAAATTATATTCCCTAGACTATATTCTCAATTATGTGTAACTAAAATAAAAACAATGTTGAGAAATTGGTGTTCTGCTTTAGTTGCTCAGAGAGACCTAAACTACCAGTCCCTTTTCTTTTCTTATGTTTTTAAATATCTCTGAATAGCAATTGAACTATTTTCTGTTGGTATGAACTGATGTTACACTTCAAGTACATATATTTATCATATTGCAGACCTTCAGAAGCCTTATATGGTATGTTATGAATAATTTATTACAATAAATCAGTTTTAAAGGAACAGTTGGAAAATAAATATTAAAAACAAATGCAGTATTTTTGAGTTTGCGAAAATATAATTTGATAGTGGCCAGCATTGCTGTAAAGTTTATCCAAAGTTTTATTAATAGCTTTAAGCAGTAGGCATTGGGTAAAATCCATTAGGAGCATCTATCACAATTACTAGGATTGTGTTGAAGAACTAACTATACTAAGGGGACTGTTGCTCACAACTGTAATGCTCAATCTATTCACTATCTAGTAGGCTGGCTCATTGGACTGTAATGGAACTGGTGCTCATGACAATTTAAGCAAAAGCTAGAATAATGTATATAACCTTAGGGAATACCTTTTTCGCTTCGCCATTAAAAAGTTCTTTCATAAATGTTCCAAAAACTTATTAAAACTTTAAATATTTAAACTTATTAAAACTTTAAAAACATACTAAAATTTAAATAACGTCAGTATTGATTTTCCCAATAAAGCATGTAGGCATATTGTGCAAGACTAGATCAACATGCTGATACTTGAAGACAAAAGGTTTGCCCCTGCATTCACTGCCTTGCTTGCACAGGCAACCCTGCACACTTAAGGGGATTCCCACAGTCAAAGTGCCTGTTTTAGCTGCTACAAAGGAAGGTCTGAATTGTCCTCAGAGTTGCAACGGGTACTTTCATCTTGCCTGAGGGCTTACAGAGACCATTTTACAAATGGTGTTCGAAGAAAGATACTGCATTGCTCAAAACCAAACTATTGACTAGATACTGCTCATTTCTTTTTGTGGCCAAATGCAAGTTACATTAATGATGTCAGACAGATGCATCACAGTTTCTTTGGGCCGCTAAAATAGAAACATTTAAAACTCTCACTTGAACAATCTGTAGAAAACACTAGCTTCTAAGTAGAAGAGCAAACCATTATTTTTACAAACTGAAGCCATGGAGGACAATAACTACATTCAGACAGACTATGAGGAACCATGCTACAAAATCCATTCAGCTTGTTACACCCGTAATTGTCAGCGGAGGTTGTTATTTAGGACATTCAACAGGGGGCTGCATTTTTGATAATTCATCTGCTTAAAATATTCTGATTCTCCTGCATGCACTTCAGTGCACTTCCTGTCTGTAACAATATCTGAAAAAGTTTAAAAACTATAAATAGCATATTAAATATACAGAATATTTACATATATAGAATGTTACATGCTGTAATCACTGCAACAGTACTTCCTCAATTTCATCTTCTAAGTAATCAAGAGCTTTAACAGCTGGTCTACTTGCCGTATGCTGTAAGAGGTGCCTTTTGGGATTGAAAGTCTTTCCTTCGCTAAAGAAAAGATCGCTATCATCATTTACTTTGACCACAGTGCCTTTATCTTGAAAGACTTTGTCTGTACCACTGTCTTGTTGAAAGGGACCCAAATCATTTCCCTTTGGTGGAGTGATAGTAGCACTGCTTCCAAACAGCTGCTCCATTAAATTGGACTTTCTTTCTCTCTTAATATCAAGAACTACATTTCCCTTAGTGGGTTCATCTAGGAATTCGCTTTTTTGATTAAGCCAGACTGGTCTCCCTAACACTTTCCCAAATGAAGGTACATAGCTACCAAATGTCAAATCATTGCTCGAATAGTCGTCTGTTGTATTTTGATGCTTCTGGATTTCTCCCTTTGTCACCATACTGGGCTGTTCATATTCCAGAAAACCATTGAACAATTTCTCAGTTGTCTCTGAGAACTGGTATGGTCTCTTACTTTTTTCCAAAGAAAATGGTTTAGTTACTATATCTGCATTATGCTCTTGCGCAGCAACATTTATATTGATCTGGGATTCTTTGTCAATTTCATACATCTTAGCAAGCAAAAGTTTCTTTCGTTTTTCTTCTTCTTCTCTTTCACTAATTTGTGTCCCATATTCTAAACTGTCTATTTCTGTTTCCATCTTTACTTTTTCTTCTTTTTCCAGGAAAATACTATTTTCTTTCTTCTTTCTCTCCAATTCTTCTTTTTCCCATTCTGTGAGTTTAAAAATAATAGTGTAGATTTAGATTTATGTATTTGCCATGAGCTCTCACAAGTTTGGCCTCTTGTGCTACTTCCTCCTCTCTCCTACTCCCATATGGCCAGGACAGTTTTGAAAGCATTTATACTTTCTCTTTGATTGAACACCTTTCACTAAAAATAGTGCTCAATCCCATGGCTAAGTATTCACATAATATTCAAACGTATAGCGGATGCATCTTCTTCAAGGTTAGCAGGGAACTCAAACCATTCTGTAACCTTCCACAGCCTATAAGAAGACATGAGTGTACACAGAGTTTTCTGGGTGGACTTCAATAGGCTTGAGCAAGCACAACTGGGCACAGGATTGAAGATTAAGCAGAAATCCTTCTAGAAATGCAGCAAGTTAAGAAACAACTCATGTGTTCCTGCCTGAATGTCTACAAAAAGGACACAAAACTAACATTTCCTACATTCCAGCCTGGCATTATCCTAAACAAAGGCAACTACAATCCCCTCCTCCCAAAAAAACTTGGAGAATAGAAAAACAAGATTCATATGCATAGTACATTTATCTTTCTTATCCTATGAATAAGTAAAGAAAAAGAGCTTGCTTATCATAATCAACAGAGAAATAGCCTTACAAGCAATATAGCTGAAACTCATTTTTAATATTCTTGGGAAAAAGTTCAGTCTTTTATGTCTATTAGTGTGAAATATTTCATGTGTGAGTTGATATCCTTACTCCTTAAGACAAGCAAATAGTTCAGTTGACTCTGCAAAACTAAGTGCATTTTCTTACCATCTCTCAGTTTCTTGGCTCTCTCTTCCAGTGCCTGCAGTTCTTGGTCACATTTCATTTTCTCGTCTCTTTCTTTGCTCTGTACATGCCGAAAGCTTTCTGCTTGATCTTTCCAGTCTATTTTAACTACTTGTTCCTTAAGGAAGTTAATTATGCAGTAGAAGAATTTTTAAAAGCTGTTTGAATGGAGCTGTATTATACTAAACAATTCAATTAAATATTAAATTTCTATGAACTGATGACTTGGCTTCAAATCCATCATGAGTGAAACTGTTTGGGAAAGTTCAAAGAAATGCATTGACTGCCAGTTTCCTCAGTGCAAATGCTCCATGTACTTCAGTGCTAACTGCTCCAGGCACTGTGTTGTGCAAGCCAGGTGTTAGACTGAGTTGTCATTACATGTGAAGCGGGCTGTAGTAAGAGAGGCCCCTTCAGCAATGTGTAAGGGCTGTGAAGTGCCCAGCAGGCTGCAATACAAAGCTGACGGGAACTCAGGAGAGGGCTATTACCTGGCCAATTATTCTATTTTACTTTCTCTCTATAAACTAATCCTTTAAGATTACTGTTGTTGGTATTTCAGAGTTGCTGACAATATTGAACCAAGATAGTATTGTTTTTTCTGGAGGAAACAGTTAACAATATGGTAGTTCAATACCCCTCTGAACTGTATGGTACCAATCCAATGCATACTGATTTATAAATAGACAAAAAAATCAGTGATGATTATAAATCTATCCTACAGATTTACAGCAAAATATACCCCATAGTTTACATAGAATTGCAATAACAGTTAATAGTAAACATTATGGCATTTATAATCTCTATAACGTTTTTATAATGAGAACAATTACAAGAAGGAACATTTGAAGGACCTTTGCTTGGCATAACAATTGTGCAAAATGCAGGCATGTGGATCTTTCCCACTTGGTTTGCATGGATATTGAAAGTCGCTTTTAAAAATAAAGTTGAAAGTAGAGATCTTGACTTAATTGATGTCCTGATACATTTAAGAGACAATGGAAGGAGGACGTTCCAGCAAATTTCCTCATCCTGCTTTTAAATATGCCTCCACCCAATTTGTAGGAATCCCTATTTTTGCTCAGCTTGCTGCATCACAGCTCTACCCTATTCAGCATCCCCAAGCCCTCAAGAAATCCTTTGGTGGGGAGGAGGCTGCTGAAGACAGGGCAGGAAAGTCACTTTCCGCCTGCTCTTGTCCACATGTGTTTGGATGGATCCAGCGGGCAGGATTCTCAAAACCTTTGTCATACTAGGCTGGTTTGGTGGTACTGCAAAAAAACTGCAAACCCTAGGAGATTTCATCAGGAGGAGGCATCCCTACACCGGTCCCTAGCATTGTTATTCTGTTAGTGCGAATTGCTTCTGCATCACCTAATCAATATCCTGCCTTAATTTTGTCAAACTTCAGCAAATGTAGCCCTACTCCCACATGATTCTGACAAAACTAGAAAACAGTCTTACATCAGAAATGGGTATGCCAAAAAGGTACAGAGTAATATCTTTTTATTAAACACTTTCATACTCTTCAAATTGTTTGCACAGGCTTTCACTAACAAGCTCATTCTTGCCTGGACTTTCAAGTTGTGCTAGTTTTACTCCAAAAATGAAGGTCAGCACAGCCTATTTTGAAATACATTTCAGGAATTATTAATACGTTAGGAACTGAGCGACTTATGGGATACAGATGAAACTCACCATTCTGAGATGTACATTATTTTCCCTTTCTTCTGGCATTTTGTCAGCAATGAAGTCTGGTGGCAAAGGAAATTCTACTGGGGAAATGAATCCTGAAGTCTGTACTGCTTTTGTTAACTGTAATTCTCTTTTAGCATTCTTATTAATCACTGCAATAAATATATACTCAATGTTACTTTTAAAAAGATTTTAAAAACAAAATCATAAAGATGAAACCCAATTGACTTAACACACACATACTAAGCATAGCTCCCATGTGTTAGAAAATGTGTAATAGAATGTGGAGCTACCACATAGAAATTCTGGAACTATTCTCTTCTCCTTCTAAGCAGCAATATGCATTTAAAAGTTTAAAAAAACTGATAAGGCAAGAGTTATTCTTGATAACTCATTTCCTTTGATGGCACTACAAATATCATCATCACTCTTCAATCAGACTAAGTGTATTGTTTGCTTGAGTTGTCCAGTTAGCAAATTTAGGATAAAGATCGTTTTACTTTTCAACCAGCTAAACACTGAAAAAGTAAACTGTGAGGTCAGCATTCCAGAAATACTTTATCATCTCATATTCCCCTTTAAAGTAAACTTGGCCATTACGGTTTAGATTGTAACTTTTTAGAAAGTAGTTACCTTTTTTTCTTGATATAATATCAGTATCTTTTTTGGGTGAAGGTTTCAACATTCGATTGGCATATATATTTTTTGCATCTAGTTCTCTCTCTTTTTCCTAATTAAAAAGGGATTAATAAATTATATTGTCCATACAGTAACCAAAAATAATTTTTCTTGCTTTGTTTCTTGTATATAATTCTGCTTTATCATTCAGCTCCCCAGATTAATATGCAGAAGTAACTATATGTGCAAAATTAGTGGATATGAATACAAATGGGCAATATATACCATTCTGAAGTTCTCAGAGCCACTACAGAACCAAATGCAAAAAGGCACAGAAAGCAAAGAGCAGTTTAAAGAAAATAAAAGTCTCTCTGTTAATCTTTGTTATGCTAAACTGCCAAGGGCTAACTTCCTAACATTTGCAGAGTAAATCAACCCTAACTTGCTGCAAGACTTTGACTGTAGGAGACAATGAAGTAAGGTCGAGCATAGTTTGTCTTTTCCAATCAGCTTAAGAGAGAGCACAGAAGTGTGTCTTCATTGTCTTCCTCTCCACTCCAAACCTATCAGTGGTTCTGATTCTCAATCAGAAGCACTAAAAGAGAAAGCTAAGGTACTTGGACCTCCCTGTACTCCGTTCTTGTAATAGGTTGGAGTGACCAGACAAAATCAATGTTCCAGGCTGGTGCAACTCAGGCCAACAGTGAACCAGCTTTGTCCTAGAAAATGCTTGTATCTCACAGTAATTACATGCCAGCTGCAGGAATTCTGGCACAGAGTATTTTAAAGATGCTAGAATATTCTAAATGATTCTCAATTATTACTATAGAAGGTAATTATGCTGGGAACTTATAGTAAGTTGGCTTCCACTAATAAATATGATACAAAACTGTTCTATAACCAGAAAGTCTCAGCTTTTACCTTTAGTTTTTGATTTAGTCGTTGGACTTCTTCTTGGAAAACCTTATTTTCTTCTTGGGCTTCACATAATTTCTTTTTCTCAGCATTCAATTGCCTCTGAAAACTACTGTTACTAAGGTCAAGATTCTTCTCCAAGTCCTACAGTGCAATATCAGAATACCATTTTGTAAACACTGTTTTTTAAAAATAGACAAATTTAAAGAATGCTTGAACAGAAAATATTTTGCCAAAGTAGGCCCTCCTGACCACATGGTATCAAAATATGAGATCTCTACTAAGCATCTTTCACTTGCTGCTAACAAAGGTTAAATACAGAGGAGATCCAAGCAGAAGCCATGCATACAAGGAATTTTCCAAGCCATCCTCAACTAAGCCTCTCTGGAGGGTTACGATTTGACAACCTTAACTCCCTCTCAATGAGGAAGCTTCACTAAATGATAAGAACACAAGGCTTCTCTGAATCCTAGAGTTATACTGGAAAACAGATTAACCCTGCTCCCAAAACTTGTTTTGACTCTGATTAGGCATGAAGTGATAACAAGCTGAAGGAGGAATGTGGAGGCACACTAGATTATCTCTATATGCAGGAAAAGCTTCTGTTTTGCAGCACTCACTGACAGCCAAAGCTGATACATCTGAGCCTTCCACCTGTGAGGTAGCTGAAGGAAATGCAGGTACATGAACTTGCCTTCCATGCTTGAACCATTTGTCAGGAGGAGGCAAAGCAAGCCACTCGATTTTATTTCATTTTTACTCTATATTTTATTTGACTTTCATTCTGCTTTTCTATCATAAAAAATAAAACTTAGAGCAACTTATAAAAGATTAGATTAAAAATGGAGAAAAACCATTTCTAGCAATAATACCAAACACTATTAGAAATCCATCATAATGAGCTTCATAAAATGAGCAACAGCACACTCACAATGTATCTTGAAATGCTTGTTTGTACTGTTGCACTTACACCTTCTCAAAACTTTTCATGCAAAAATTAAAGGTTGTATCCAGAATGCCCTTCCTTCTGTGAATGACATCTTTCCATGTATAGAAAGATCTCTGATTCAGCAGAGATGCCTGCTGAGGGAAGTTGAGGGCATGATTTTTTTCTTAATTTTAAACCCTCTGTACCAACCTCCAGTGCTGTTCCAGAGGGTCCAGAACATTTCAGAATATATTTGCAGTGGGCACACAGAAATCAGGCAAATTTGCCCCCTCTCCAACCATTAATGCATACACTGGAAGTGGTGTTTTTTTAGCAGGTGTCCACCTGTAACACTTTAAAATTTAGCTAAGGATGTGAAAGGGTACTTAGAGGTACTTTAGAATTTAGAGGCACTTTTCATGTTCAGCACAATCATATGCATACCTACTCTGAAGTAAGCACCACTGAACTCAATGGGACTCAGTAGCAGGTAAGTGGGTGCAGGATTTCAGCCTTACTAATTTAGTATTTTGGGAATTAGAACAATTTTGTTAAATTTGAGACACATGACTCTTGGTTGAATGCAAAGAAACTGGTACACTAAGCAGGCCAATATACTTCTGAAATTACTATTTGCTACATTTATAATCTTCTTCCCCTCTGCAGTTTGCTAGCGACTGTTTGAATATTTATATATAATCATAATAATACAATGATAAATTAAGAGTACTGAAACCTAGAAATATTAATGTCTCCTTACCTTAATTCTTTTCTCACTGTCATCCAGCCTGTTTTCTACCAAAGCTAGCTTCTTAGCCAGTTCATCACGTTCAGGGAGATGCTTGTCCTCTGCAAGTCTCCTCAATTTTTGTAAGCTACCCTTGGCCTTAGACAGCTCCTCCTCTGAACTCCGCAGCTTCCTCTCTGTTGTTTGTTCTCTTTCTTGTGATTTTCTTAAGCGCTCCCTCAGTATTCTCATCTCATCATTATGCCGCGCCAGGAGTTGAGAGATTTCATTTTCAGTGTCCTCAAACTTATGCAGAGCTTTCTCATGTCTGTACTGAAGCCGCTTTAGTGCCCTATTTTCTTTCTGCAGCTCATCAAGTTTGACATGCAGTTCAGTTAGTTCATTACGAAGCTCATTAATTTTCAGCAACCTGACAGAAAGCACTCGTTTTGTAACGAGACTGATATCTTTGGCAGGAGACTCCCTGTTGAGACTCTGGGAGCGAAAACCCCAGCGGAGCCCTCTTTTGCTGGGTGCATATTTAGAGGCAATTTGCTTTGTGGCTACAACAATAACAAAACAGAGTTGGTACTGCAGTAAAAATCAGCAAGCTGCTACAAAATGTCTCCATTACACAGGATCACTTTTTCTCCTGCCAGCATATTAAAACTTTCTCTACATATCCGCAGTAAACAAGAAAAACCTGACATGTACTATCTTTTCAGAGCTATTTACAAAGTAAGGGAAATAAACTCACATTATAGAACAAATTAGTTTCATAAACTTTTATTCCTTCACTTCTGCAGATCTAGCCCAAAGACATTATAGAGGCAGTTTGCTTCCAGCAGGTTTTAGTTGCAGAGCTAGAAGCCATTATAGCAGTCAGGTGAGTAGATTGCGGTTTAGGGCACAGAGGTAGCCACATGTTAGACTTGCTGCAAATGCTGGAAGATTCTTTATCAGTGACATGTTCTCAATAATCCAGTCAGTCTTACAATTAAATCTTTCCTTCTCTGAACAAGATTAGTATCATGTTAGGCATATGGAAAAGGGTAAAAATACTTCAGATGGTACAAAATAGAGCTGCCAGGATGCTGTCGGGGACTGGTCGTTATTCTCACATAACTCCAGCTCTCTATCAGCTCCATTGGCTTCCCATCGAAGTCTGGGCTCAATTCAAGGTGCTGGTTATGACCCATAAAGCCCTAAACAGCTTGGGGCCAGGATACTTAAGGGAACACCTTTTTCCTTATATGCCCTCCCACCCCCTAAGATCGGCAGCAGCAGAGGCCCTTCTCCAGGAACCCCCTTTGAAAGAGGTCAGGAGACAGAGTACTCGGAGGATAGCTTTCTCTGTGGTGATACCCCGACTATGGTATGTGCTCCCTAGAAAGGTCTGCCTGGCGCCGTCATTATATGCTTTTTGACGTCAGGTCAAGACCTTTTTAGTTGACCAATATTTTAACATAAAGTATTTTTAATTGTATTAGATTTAATTTATTTTAAATAGATTAGTTTTATGCTTAGTTGTGGAATAGTTAATTTATTTTATTTAGGATTTGAAGTAATGTTGTAAACTGTCCAAAGATGACTGATGGATGGCCTACAAATTTTCTAGATAGATATTTAGACAAAAAAGTCCTGAAATTCCTAGCATTTCTCAGCCAGCCATGCATAGGATTGTACTCTTAGAAACAGGGAAATCACACAGAAGGGCTTAAGCTGCACCTCTCTTAGTGTCGCTGCCTTTAACCAACTCTCTCTCTCCCTCCCTCCCCCCACCTTCAACTGAGACAGCCAATCAGTGATCTCCAATGGCACATGTAGTCCTCCCCATTCTCCAGTTCTATTTGTGTTTTAATATACCATTCATAGGTTAGTCTTCCCTGAACTGGCAACCTACAGCTCTCTGCATTACTGACCTTTAGTCATACTGTCTGGGGGTGAGGATACCTGAAATTCAAAACATCTGATGAGTACCTGTTTGGGGGAAGCTAATATAGGCATTGGTTCCAGAGTAACATAACTCCTTACATAATACAAATGCTACTATTCTTTTGCTGCAAGAGGGCTGCAAATGATATAGATTAAACACAGATCTGATAGCAGATCAAAACTACTTCCAGCAAAGTTGCAAGGAAAATGAAACGTCATATGAGAATGTATTTCTCCCCCAACTCCTGCTGAATACTTTTAATTTCATTGTGAAGCAACAGTTAGATCGTAGTCCAGGTTAAACATGCCAATTCAGTTTAGTCACATTTCAGTACAATTTTACTTCTAAGTAATATTATTGAGGACTGCGGTAAGTTAGAAATCATGTTATCTCAACCACTTACCTTGATAATATGCAATGCTTTTCAAATTCTGAGCTTTATTAATTTTTTCACCAGTGTTTGTAGACTGAGTGCCAATGGTTGGTGAATGGTCAGAGGCACAAGATGAATCATCATCAGAATAGTAAGAATCACTGCTTTTATCACTGCCTGATCTTTTGTTGTGTCCAGAATCCAGACTCCTTCCTCTCTCCCCCATTTTCAATAAAGGGAATGTTCCAGACCTTTTCTCAAGGAATATTCATTTCACCAGAGGACAGCTCATGCAGTCAGTGGTGGAACTGCTGGCTTCTTGCCAATTCATCATTAGCTTGCTTTCAGAAGGGCTGCTGGGTTTCATTTTGACAATCAGTGCTTGTCATTCAGAGTGCATGTTTCTATCTGAATTGAGAGAGAGAAAAATTGGAATTGGGTTACTTTTCCATCTTATGATAAAAAGTGTTTTTAAAAGTATATACTAGCTAGCAATTCCTGCATCTAACACTGAAAAAAGTCTCTGTGTATACATCAGGGTAGTGCCATTCTGGGGACTATGGTTCATTAAGTCACTGTGAACCACATACATTTCTGACATCACAGATTTGGTAGAACAAAAGTGGGATCCCTCAAAGGCAAGCATTAAAAAATGCCTGAGGTAGCATATCGCTTCACTTGAAAACAAAAACCTAATTCCAAATGAGTATGGAAAATGCAAGGTAGAACAGGCAAATCTGAAAGTTCATTGATTATTAATTTAGAAAATAAGGAAGACATTTTGATTTCAGCAACACCAAACATAGTTAAACTTTAAATAATCAGATATTAATCAGATATCCTGTGAGCACCACTAATTTGCTCCATTTCAGAAATGAGTGCTTCTACTCTTTGTGGCTGCTTCAAGAACGTCAATTTCTCATTGTGCCTACAGCGAGTCCTGCTAACGCACAGGCATCACTGGATACCGCCAAATATTAATTACATTACATTACTATACAGCCCAATAGCCAAAGCCCTCTGGGTGATTCATAGTACTTTTCTTTATCAACAAAATGACAAACTTGACAACAAAACTCCTTACCACATCAGACCAAGGTGAATTTAGACCAGGTATTCTATTTTGCACAAGGGCCAATGAAAGGGCTTGCATGTGATTGACTGTGTCCTGTTTGTTCCCAGCATGTAACACCTCGGAATTTGGTCTATATACCCACCCACACATAAAATGGATAAAATCTGTTCCTAGATTTACCTTTCTTAAAACTTTCTAATCCATTAAAAAAACCATCTGTGTTATTAGTCGGTGTCATAGGGTATGCATCCATTGTATACGAGTAAGTTCCTAAGTAGGTTATTCTTTGAAGCCCTAGACCAGCCTTCCCTAACCTGATGCCCTGCAGGAGTGCTACAGCCTGCAGGGAAGAAAAAATGGAGGTCTAACGTTTTCATACCTTTCTGTGGACTGAAATGGAAAATGGCATTTTCCAATACAAAAGTACATTTTAATTTGGTTTAGTCAAAGTAAGAATTAAGCTAAACTGAATTTTCAAACACAGCTTAAAAGGAAATTTAATAGCCAGTACATATTTTGAATAAATTTTAAATATATTTATATGTATTTCATTTTATGTGTATATTCCCAGTTTTTTTCTACAATAATATAGCAGAATATCAAATATTAAGGATAAAATCATGTGGGGGGGTTAGACAGAAAAATGTCCTACAACTCTCAGTATTTTCTAGCCATACATAGGAAAGCACCCTTAAATGAATTAAATGGACATCTGACTGAGAGTAAAACCTATTGAACTCAAAGGGAGTAATTTCTGGCTAGAGCCACATAGGAATGTAGTGCAAAATAATATAATGCTGCACTTTCATTAACCAAACCCTTTGTGGGTTACCTGTGTCTGAAGAAACAAAGATTTTGATAAAGCTCTGCTAACTCATAGAAGATTTCACTGCTATTAGACCAATCTAGCACTCTCTTCTCCCAGGTTTTGTAAAAAAGAAAAACTGTATGCAGTGTCGAGATTTTTGCAAAAGAAAGCATTCAGTTGGTACATTTTTTGTAAAGAAAACCGAACGCTTACTTGATCAGACATAATTCTGTCCTTACTCTGATGATGTATTTAAAATGTCGCCTTTGTTCAATATTTAAAACAAGCTGAAAGGAACATTACTAATAAGAGCACCAATTCTTTAAAAAGAATTATTTTACATCTTGGAATGAGAAATACTGTTATGATAATGCATATTTTTGAAGTGGAATTCTAATCCACTTCTGTATTCACTACTGATACTCTCCCACACAGCATTACTACTCCTAGACACAGTTAAGAGTAAAACATGCTGATAACTAGAAAGTCAAGATTCATCTTTTTTTAAAAAAATTGGGAAAAAAGAATAAATTATTTTAGGGCCTCAGCAATTATAGGCAGCCTATAAATATATGTAAATAAATAAATTTTATAGGATGTAAGTACAAATACAAAAAACACATAAAAGAAAAAATACTCAATACACATAATCAAATATTTTAAAAAATCCCCAGAAATCACCCTTGGTGCACACTTCCACTGCAACTGTGGCTGCCTAGTATTGAGATAAAGGTGAAAAAAGGATTGAAGAATTATTTTAATAATATATAGAACATGTTTATTGGACATATATTAATAAACGGGGAAGGTCATAAACCCTCTAAGAATGTATTGCAATTTTGGACTGAAGGGGGCATCTTGGAAAGAGTGGAAAAATGAAGGGAAAAAAGAGAAAGTTATTCTAATACTGTAAAGAAGAAAATCTGGGCACTATTTTATCAAAGTACACTTCTAGTCCTAAGGTTTAAGACCACTAGAAAATAAGAATTCAGGAACAAAACATCCCAGCCCCAAAACAGCACATCACTAAGTGTCATGTGAAATTATTATGCCTTTACAAGGAGATCAACTAGTTTAAGTGCTCAAGCAATGCAAGGATATTTTAAAATCCTCGAGAGATTTGTTTTAACTTTATACAGTGGGAACATGCTTTTCAATATGAAATCCATTATATTGCCTGCCAAGATTTGCTTATTGGTACCCTGCCAAACTTGTTAAGTAATTTCATCAGCCTAAAAAGTACTGTTCATTTTTGTGGCTAATGAATTGCTTTGAAATCTGAGTTACTTCAGTAAGTATAAGGGCTTTTATAATTAAGAAACTTCGTGGTCCATTGCCTTTAACTATCATGGAGCACTTTCATTTAATTATAAAGTCATTTTAATTTCAGTACACGCAAGTTAAATCCTGAAGGTTATCTACATTGCCTTGGCAGTTTTGATAAGATTGTTCAAAATTCCAGTCATTTACAGACTTACTTGCAAGCAATATATATGGGCTGAAATTAAGTCTACAACAGTAACAGTACTATACAGTTGCTAAAAATCATGTTAGGCCTTTTTAGCCTTATAAAATCTGTATCATCAATATTCCTACGGGTTTCATTTACAAATATATGTACATAGCTATAGAGAACATGAACTACTGCTAGCTTTCCTTTCACAAAGCTGAATTACAGGATTATTATTATATTGCATTTATAGCCTGCCTTTTTTGTCCTCTAGTTCAAGGCATCTTATATAGCTCCATTTTATCCTCCCAGCAACAAAACTGTGAGGTAGGTTAGCCTGATAGTCTATAACTGGCCCTAAATCACCTAGAGAGCTTCATAGCTGAGTGGGGACTAGCACCCGTATTTCCTGGGTTCCCAGTTCAAAAGTCTAACCAACCGCACCATGCTGAATCTCAAAAGGGGGCAGCTACTGTTTAGGAATAATCCATACCAGTTAGTATGCACATGCAAAAGAATACCATGCCTTTCAGCTTTGCCTCCTTACTTTGAAGTAATTCCCACCTTTCAATGGGACTTCTTAAAAAATGTGTAGGATCACAACAATCAAACACAAGACCCATCCAAAAGCAACGCATTGTGTTTCCTAGTTTAGGATTCCAGATGTAACACTACAATTCTGGTAAAAAAACTGAAAGGCTATAAATCAGTTAAGGGAATGGAGAAAATAGAGTGTGAATTTTTTTTCCTCTAAGATCCTCCCATGAGGCTGAAAAATGGAAGATTTGGGAAAGTTAAAAGGAAATACTTTTTCATAGTACACAGATAATTCATTACCACAAGATGTAGTGATATACATTAATATATTTGGCATTAAACTTGAAACTTAATAGTTATATTGCACCAAGAGGCAATACCATCAATGTTAAAAGCGAAGACTTCTGTGGATATTCATTTAGTTCAAGATTCCCACCTCAAACTCAAAAGGGAAAACGTTTTGCATAAAAATGGTATACTCAATTCGATCAGGCTTATTTCCTAGAAATTATGTTCAGGATTGTAACATTAGTATAAGAAAACACTACTTCTCAAGTATTTCAAACTCAAAAGTTGCTGGGATCTTGGACTGAATACATTGATTTACACCCATAAATGTATTTTCTATTTTTCCATCCTCTTAGGCATTGTCCCCTTCCATTATAAACTGAGGCATTGTACTCCACAACACCTAACGAAAGGCTAGAGAAAAAATATTTAAAGCATTTCTATACCATTTGAATTAACATAATGCTCTCAGAACAGCTCTCAGCAAGCAGTTCAAATATACCAAGATAACAATTTAAAACAGATTTAAAAACAGACTTGCCTGACATAAAACATCCCTATAACAGTAAAATTGGACAGGAATATGTCACAAACAATAAACTAAGCAATAATACATAGTAACAGTTAACCCACCTCTGCCAGAACAATTAAAAGTCAATGTTAAAGTAATCAATGGTTAAAATGGCAAGAAAATATTAAAGTTTTAACCTGACACTGAAAGATCTTCCTGGGAGCTGATTCCACAGATGGGGCACCACAGCCAATAAGGCCCTTCCCCTTAGCCACCCTCTTAGCTTTCTTTAAGGTGGCTCACAGGGAAGGGACTCTGCAGATGTTCTAAGGTTTCAAGTAGTTGTATATGAGAGAAGACACTCCTTTAGATATCCAAGCCGTAAGTCAGTTAAGGCTTTATACATTAGTGTAAGCACCTTAAGTGGGCCGGGACTTCAGTTGGTGACCAGTACAGATGATATAACACCAGACTTGTTGTTAGTCACGAAGTTGTGTCCAACCCATCGCGACCCCATGGAAAACATTCCTCCAGGCCTTCCTGTCCTCCACCATCCCCCAGAGTCCACTTAAGCTGACAGCAACTGCTTCAGTGACTCCATCCAGTCACCTCATCCTCTGCCATCCCCTTCTTTTGCCATCTATTGTTCCCAGCATCAGGCTCTTCTCCAGGGAGTCCTTCCTTCTCATTAGGTGGCCAAAGTATTTGAGTTTCATCTCCAGGATCTGGCCTTCTAAAGAGCAGTCAGGGTTGATCTCCTCTAGGACTGACTGGTTTGAGCACCAGACTAATGTGTTCATTTCTGCTTGTCCCTATCAGTAGATAAGCTGTCCTATTCTGTACCTATCAGCCCTATGGTAAAATGAAAGTACTTTGTATGAAAAAGTTCAGAATTAATTGAATTCTTTCCTCTCTGTTTAATAACTAACTAAATAACTACAATACTGATCAATGTTGTTCCATTTCAGTGCCTTTTCCCTGGGTCCAAGCAAAGTCTTAACAAAACTATACCACAGACTGTTACATATCTCTGGTACACAAACCTGTTCTGTTTCATGGAGGAACATTTTAGACAAAAGTTGGTATAATTTTATGTTCAATGTACAAGGAATTCATAACACCATAACTAACAAGAAAGACAGGCCATTTCCATGCCAGTCAGGAAATGAAATGGCAGTATCAAAGCACCCATTTCATTATAGCAACAGCAGTTAAAGGCACAATCCTAATGCATGTTTAAATAGAAAAGAATTCTTACAACATCCAGCCAGTCATGCTGTATTCAACAGGGCTTACTCCTGAGCAAGAATGTTTAGGATTGCAGCCAGAATACCTCTCATTGCTTACACATGTATTCTCTGACACGAAACATTTCTGACTGTAAAAAATGTAGTACATACTAACCAGTCTCAAAAAGGCAGGAATTCTGTCAGCAAAAAACATGGAGCTGCTAGGTATGCTGAAGTATCTGATTGAACATACCTAATTAAACTCTTCAACTAGTAAGGACAAAGGTAATGCCGGAGTTATAACAACAAAAAAGTTTTAAGCTTTTGCCTATAGAAAATTATTTTTTCCAACACCTACTAATTTTGGAATGTTGATGGGGGGGGGAATGTGGAAGAGAAATCTGATCAGAAGACACTTTGTTGTCATAGTAACTCCCCAAAGGACTCATGGCACACTTAACGACAAAGGAAATGAAAACGGCAAAGCACCTGAAAAAAAAATAAGACTCGAGCTGTAAATTCTAACGATCCCTGCGAGGGAGTAAGCCCCATTGAATACACAAGACTACCGAATATGGGCTTTCTAACCCCATTCAGTGTATTTGCCATGCAGAATACTAGAGTGAAGTTTTTGTGAATACTTCACATGCAAGAACTGTATTGCCATCTATTTCTCTCCCCGTTAAATATATGCACCGCGATACAGAAAAAAGCTGTGTACAGTGGGTTCATGGAGAGGTGTAACCTGTGTGACATTTCCGTGCAAAGTTCAGATGAATGCAAATTAAATGAAGAGGCTATACAGCATTAAGGCACATGCAGCTTGGGAGAGAAGTCAACATCTGGAGATATCCGCCAGACATTTCCAGATACTGATACCCACCACATCTCCTTTCGTCTCGCATCTCATTAAGTGAGCCTAAGCCCTTAAACGTTAATGCCACAAGCAACCTGCCCAGCTCCAAAGCGCTACAAGTCTCTGCACGGTGCTCACAAAAGGAAGCCTTTCGACAAAGTGGGGAGCACGCCGCAGAATTCAAGGAGAATTTGCACGTTTCTCTTCTGACAATGCCCAAACATGGGAAGGGGATGTGGGGAGCGGCTTAGAGTGGCAGGACCGACGGCTAAGCCAACTCATCTCGCCTCCTCTCCAAACCGGAGCGCAGACACTCCTCCTGCTGCTCCCCTTCCTCAAAGGGACCCCCCGCCTGTACCTGTCTCCTCAGCTGCACAGACGAGCCGTCAAGCTGGACGGTTGCCGGGCTCGGCTTAACGGGGGCCGCCCCGCCGCGTTCCGGGATATTTACACCAGGCTCCAAGGTAACGGGGAAGAGAAGGAAAGGGAAGAGGCGGGGATTGGGGGAGGGGCAGGAGGCAGCCGCTCTTAAAAGTCGTCCTATTGGCCTCCTGCCTTGCCAAAATCTTCGCCAAAAAGAACCAATCGCCGCGTCCGATTGAGCCGGAAAGGGCGGGCAGGAGGAAAAGCTAGAGGCTTGCCATTGGGCAAGGCTACAAGGCGGAGCTGCCCTATTGGCTGGGGGGCCGGGTGCTCTCTCGAGGCAACGGGAGGAAAAGGGGTGGGGCTTTACGCGGGTGGTGCAGTCCAGGGCGAGGGCGAGAACGAGAACGCGGGGGGCGCGGGGCCTTGGCTGCGTTCCGGTGCTTCGGAGCCCCGGGTGCGCGCAGCAGGGCTGGCCGAAGGAGCTGGAGACCAGCCAGGGGAGGTTTTGAGCATGCAGCGGGGCGGGCGCGGTCTTCTTCATGCTTGGCGTGTTCGGCAAGGAGAGCTGCGTGGAGCACTGGGGAGGGGCCTGTTAATTTTAAAGGATTTAAAAAAAGGAAATCTGCTTAAGCGTGGTTGGACAGAAAGCGTAGCTCCAGATGTTCTGGATTTCACCTCCCGCATTCCTGTGGCCATGCTAGGAAAGCCTTCTTGGAATTAAAGTCCAAAACATCTGCAAAGCTCACTGCTATATTGCTTTCATATTCCGCCCTTCAGTGTGTCTCAGGGCGATAATACAATAAAGTACAGCATCATTGTATAATGATACCATGGAAAGCCTAAAGATACCTTGCCCCTTAGCCAAAAGGCTTGCTATGTGAATTTGAAGTAGGATGCACAAAGAATAATTGGAGGGGAGAGATTATGTTTGGCATTAATAATTGCTTTAGCCTTCAATCTGATGTCTGCTTAGACAGAAAAATGCCCTATGATTTTCAGCCAGGGAATTGTGGGACATTTTTTCCTGTCTAAAGATGCATAGGGTCATAACTAGTTGAACTCTGTATGAGACAGTTTTTCTTGAAACAAAGCATGTATTTTTTACTCAGAAGTAAGCCACACCAAATCTAATGTTGCTTAGTTCAAGTCTCAGTGTTCAGATGGAATTAGATTTCCGTGGGGAAAAAAATGTAGTTCCATGACCGAAAAAGTTTGGGAATTGCTGATCTAAACATGGATAGGCTTGCTCCTTGAGTGCATTTCTTATCTCGCCCTTCTTCCAAGGAGTTCGGTGTATCTTAACAAGATCACTCTCCCCACAGAACACCTTGCTATTTTCTTCACAACATTTTCAACAGAAAGCATAACTGGGCCAAGTTAATGAGCTCCATGACTGAGTAGAGATTTGAACCTTGGTCTCTCTGATCATAGTTCTGCAACCATTGAAATGAAAGTTGAAGCATTACTTTCCTCCTTATTCTGGTCAGGATTTTTTGGATTTGCTGTTATTCAAATCTGTAATTTTCAGTAGATCACCCATATGACATCTCTTACTCTTATTAACCTTACAACCTTGAGGCTAGATTACGGCAATGTGCTATATATGGGGCTGCCCTCAAGGTTGTTTTTGGAGCTGGAGCTAGTGTAGAATCCAGCAGATCAGCTAAGGTCAGGAGCTGCCTCTTCCCAGTGTGCAGCTCCTTTGTTGAAGAAACTGCATTGACTGCCTATTCACTCTCCAGGTTTAAGGTCCTGTCACTAGTGTACAAAGTCCTGAATAACTTGAGACAAGGGTATCTGAAATAATGCCTTCTCTCTTACTAAGATAATAAGGTCAATGGGTGACATTTTCCTGGTGGTTCCATATGGAGGCAGGATCCAACCAAAAGAAGAGTCTTCAGGATTCCTTCCTTCAGGAGTCTTCAAGAATTCCTTGCCTCTAGAAACCTGCTGAAGACATCTTGGTTTCTTGCTGACCAGCCATGTTTTTTCATAGAAAAAGACTCCTAGAAAAGTACAGGTGGAAGGGGCCATAAGGCCATCCGTCCTGATGCTGAGCATGCCTAACTCTCTCAACCGTCTTCATTGGGCTTTGCTCCAGTCCCTGAATCATCCTTGTCACCTTCCTCTCTACCCTTTCTAGCTTTTCTGCATCTTTTTAGGACTTAGGTGCCCAGAACTGGACACAGTACTCCAGATAAGGCCTAACCAGTGCTGAGTACAGGGGAACTAGTACTTCCCATGTTTTGGAAGTGATGCTTCTGTTAATGCAGCCCAAAATAATGTTTGCTGTTTTTGCAGCTGCATCATGATATTGGCTCATATTGAGCTTGTGATCTACAACAACCTCAAGATCTTTCTCATTTGTGGTATTGTTGAACCAAGTATTTCCCATTTTGTAGCAATGTATTTGGTTTCTTGCTTCTAAGTGGAGAACTTGACATTTATCCCTAATGAATTTCATTCTGTTGCTTTCTGCCCAACCTATCAAGACCACGCTGTATCTTATCTCTGTCTTCCAGGGTATTCCATCCAGCTCTGTGTCATCTGCAAATTTAGCTATCTTTATACCTCCTCATCCAGATCATTACTAAAACTGGGCCCAGGACTGAACCCCGTGGCACCCCACTTGTCACCTCTCCACATTTTGAAAAGGTGCCATTGATGAGCACGCTTTGAGTCCAATTTTGCAGCCAATTGTGGATCTACCTAATGGTTGCACTGTCTAGCCCACTTTTAGCTAGTGATCAGGATTCATGGGGCACTTTGTCAAAGGCTTTGCTAAAATCTAGATAGATTATGACTGCAACATTACTGCAGTCCATTTGGAAGGTTACCCAATCAAAAAATGAAGTTAGCTTCATCTGGCAGGATTTGTTTTTGAGAAATTCATGTTTGGTTCTAGTAATTACAGCATTATCTTCAAGGTGTTTGCAGACAGTTTGCTTTATAATTTGCTGTGAATTTTTTTCCAGGGATTGAAGTCAGACTGACTGATCTATAGTTCTAAGGTTCATCTTTCTTCCCTTTCTTGAAGATATGGAAAACGTTAGTCATTTCCAGCCATTTGGCACTTCTCCTGTCTTCTGTGAATTTTTAAAGATGATAAATAGTGGTTCTGAGAGTTCTTCTGCTAGTTTGTTAATGACTCTGGGACGAAGTTCATCAGGCCCTGGAAATTTGAACTAATTCAACCCAATCAGATTATCCTTAACCTTTTGCCTGTCAATCTTGGGCTGCTGTCCTCCCTCTTCAACTTGTGCTACGCCTTCATCAGGAAGGTTGTATGTGTTCTTTTAGAAGACTGAGGCAAAGTAGGAGTTGAACACTTCTGCCTTTTCTTTGTTATCATTATTCAATTTTTAAAATGTTACCTTGCTATTAATATATTTTAAAAAGTATTTTATCGGTCTTAGCTTTTTACTGTTCACTGTTCTGGAATTTGCCTAGATATGGAATGGTATACAAATACTGTAAAAAGAACGAACAAATGAATAAGAAGTACAGGGTTTTTCATAAAGTACACAGTTTCTAAAAATGCAATAAATCAGTCAAAATCGAAGCAAAATTCAAAATTTTTATTTAATTTTATTCAACATATACTTTGATTTAATAATGAAAAATGATATCGAGCATATGTTCACCTCCACTTTCTCTGCAGGCAGTCATCCGATCGTTGAAATTAATGATAACTGTTTCGCAGACGTCCTTGTCGATTTTGCCGATTACCTGTACAGTATTGACCTGGCCATTTTCTGGTTGCAACTGACTCAGATTCTTCGAATTTCTTTACTAACCTCCAAACTGTTGTTGCGGTAGGGGCATTGTCACGTCCAAAGATCGTGCGAAGTTTACGGACAGTCTCTGCATAGCACTCCCCGTTTTTGTAATGAGTTTTCACAATAAGAATGCGTTGCTCAATACTGAACCGCTCCATGGCTACTAAATGGAAAAGTGACAAATGGTCTTCTAATTGGAGTGATAATAGATAACAAAAATGATAGGAACACTGCTGACAATCTTCAAACAAAAAAATACTGCACAATTCAAAAACTGCATACTTTATGAAACACCCTGTACTACACACGCTAGACTAGACTTTTCATAATTTTCCCCTTTCTCATGTATACATGCTGCAAGTTCATTTGATCTGTAGTATACCTCTTTAAGCAGCACCTTGCATGTACATATGTTATATTTTTCCCTTTTGGTTTATCATAATGCAGTGTTTTATCTGTAGATTGCTTGTAACTATAAGCATCAAATTGGAAGTAATTCAGTTCAAAAACTTGGGAAACAAATAACTAGAGTAACATAAGAAAAGCTACAATTCTGTGCCTAATGCGTGAAAGGCAATTCTCACTTAAATCACTGGCACATCTTTGAGAGAATTAGGTTTGGTAAGTGAGCCTCAAATGTGAATATGAATAGCAGTAGATTACCACAACTACCCTTCTGAAATCCCCCCCCCAAGTGATTTTTAAACAATACTATTCTGCAAGATATAAGTCTTCAAAAGGCGTGTGAGATCCTGGAATGTAGCAGTTTCCATGACCATCTTGGGTAAAGGGATGTAATGCGCCAGATTGTGTGATCAAAATAAGTCACCATAGTTATTTAAACAGACATTTCCATAATCGCTGCCCAGGTGCAACTTGCGTCATCTGAACCAGGACAGCATGGCTTGTTGGATGGGGAAACAACCCATGTATCTTTGGAGGATTGTGTGCCCTTCCAAAAGCCATGCTGCCTGTGTACAGATGAAAAGACAAGCCATGCAGCTGGTGATGATAGAAATCACACACTGCACTAAGCCACAGTGGATTATTTTTAAATGCGATACACCTCTTAGTTGTGCTTTTCTTGGCAACTGGCATGCCTTGTAAATAACTCACAAAATATGGGGCTCTTTCACTTTCAGCTGAACTTTTACAGAATTACACTATCAGACTTCATCATGTTCTCATTTTTCAATGTCTTCCTTGCACTTAGTAGTCCTAGGGCAACTCCAGGTGAAACATCCCATCACCTGCCAGAACTTTATTGGATGCCTGCAGATACTGCCTTCTCATTCCATTTCCAGGTTGTGACTGTGCGATTTCCCCCCATCCCA